TGCATAGAGACATCATTTCACAATAATGCTATTTACGAGAAACGCTTCTTCAAATAAACAAACACTTAATTCTTCAGATTTATTCACAGCTATTTGTATTTTATCCACTGATATTAATAAAATGAGAAATCATTGCATAGCTATTTATCTAGCAAAGTAGAACAATCATTACCGATAAAACTTCATGATATCGTCTGGAAACTATGGGTAAATAGGTACAAACAAAGTACAATATTCACATACAGTAGTAGACTGGTAAATATGTGCACCTCTTTCAAAAATGCCATTCAATTTAGAGTTTGGTTGATTGACCCAAGAGAGTTTCAATCTCCTTTACCATTTCTTTCGGCTCTGTGTTTGGTCCATATCTTTTCACAACCTTTCCTTCTCTGTCCACCAAGAATTTGGTAAAATTCCACTTGATAGCATCGAGCAGAGTCCCACCCTAAGATAACTTGATTTTCACATTTTCAGGTAATAGCGAGATTGGGTTATACTACCTTTTCCTTCTTCAGAAATTTGTAAAGGGGCTCCGCTTTGTCACCATTGACATCAATCTTAGCGTATAGATCAGGCTCGAATTTGAACTTGTCGTTCACAAACTTCTTGATGTCGAGCTCACAGGCAGGTTCCTGAGATGTTGGGAGGGATTCAAGTAAATCTTTCAGTGACACATCAATCTTAGAAAAGAGCAAGATTCACCTTTTATAGTGTTCTTTCTTTTCATAGCATTATAAAATTTTCTAAGATTACAACAGCAAGCTTCAAAAAGGATTTTGAATCATTCTATACCTGGTTTCCAAACTGGTTGCACGGGAATGCTGCTACTTCGAGACCTTTAGAATGATACTTGTCAAGAATTTCTTTGAGCTGGGTGTAGTTGGAGTTAGTGTAACCACATTGTGATGCAACGTTGACAATGACAACTACTTTTCCCCTAAAATAGCCCAAATTGCACTGATTTGCAGAAACAACAAAAAAAAATTCAGGACGGAATAACCCACTTGTACTTCTCCAAAGAAACGTCCTTTCCATCTGCATCCTTGACTTTAAACTGATAAATTGAGTGATCTGTCATCCTAGCTGCTGTAAGTTGTATAAGTCTGCGAGAAGATACTGAAAGCATCTGTTGGATCAAATAGGAGGGGTATTGAACGAAGTTAGCACGATCAGAACACAATAAATGATTATTATGTGCACAGCAATTCATAACTTTGGAGTTCTATCAACTGCCGGTGCAGATAAGGGCCGGATAGATTATTTTAGAAACATAGTGCATTCAAGCACTACATCAAGCCTCCATCATTACACAAAATTTTTTTGATTTTTTTGTGTTAATCTTGTTTCGACTACAAGGTGATGTAGATGAATATAAAAATGTGAACAGATTAAAAAAGTGTACAACAAAATAGGACTCGAAATCATGAACTGAGCAATATTTCTTCTGTCACAAAGGCTTGAATTTATTCCCTACTCTCTTCCGCAATATTTCTTTTGTCAAAACGAAGAAAGGAAATCATTCAGGTTAACATTCATGAAACTGCACAAACGCAGGCAGTGTTTACTTTCACAACCACTCTTATCGTTATATAAACACACAGCAGCACAGGTTTCATAGAAATTTGGACTTGGTAGTGGTAGTCTATACGGCACTTATTTCTCATTACTAGTTTGTTAGGTAAATTAAAGGTAATCCAGAAGTTGTGTAATCTTACGGAACTTCAAAAAGATTGCCCAATAAAAGAAGCCTCAAGTCAACTCCTTTAAAAAGCTAATGGCTACAACACAACGTATATCGATTCTGACTAACCGTGGATTTCAGCCAACGATAAGATAGCGCGGCGTAGAAGTACGTAAAGACCTTGTATCGGAGATTTACGAAGAAAACAAAGACTGGTGATGAGACAAGTGTGCGTTGAGTGCTTCGTGTTTAGGTGAATAAAAACTCGTTTAACTACGATTAGCGAAAACACATCACCTGGTGAGTAAGGGCTACCATATTCCAAAAGAAAAAACACGCACAAGCAAAAAAACCACAACTCACAAAGAACAACGCTCATCTATGGCAATGAGCCCAAATGAATGACAATTCCAGCGGCCGTAGTTTCTTTCCAACGAACGTATGAGGCAGCGAGGCAATGTTTGTTGTTTACTTCGCCTTCGGAAACCAGAGATCACCAGAGCGGCCGCCCAATGTTTGCAATCTGTTTATTGATGCAGGCGTTCTATTGTTTTTAGTAGCTATAGCTCTTCGCAACAGGTGTAAAAGACTCAATTATATTCAAACAGCAAACGTACTTCTACAGCGTTTCACTGGTCCCAGCAGTATTACAGATACTTTATGTGACGTTTATCAGTTGCTTTCATAAGTATAGATGCAAACCAATAAAAAACAATTTTTTAATCTCATATAGCCGGTAGTACTATAGCATAAACCAACGCTAACTCGTACATCGGGAAACGTAGAGAAGTAGTATAGATACTGACTATGAAATTCATATAGCAAGTATTTTAAAACCATAGTTACCAGGCGTAGCAATTATTTTGACATAACCAATAATTACGCCTTTCCATCAGCATCTATAATACTCAATCAGGCCATGCTATTCCCGTGAGCATGTGAAATTATTGTTCAGCTTACCCGCAATTTTTTTAGTTTCTGAATTGTTTTCTTCAAAAGGCAAGCAACTAAGGTATTCAGTAAACACTCTAGGTAAACATAAGATTATGTATTTACCATTTAGTTACTAAGGGACAAGCATTCTTCCAAACATTCAAAAAGGCAAAAATAATCTGTTTTGCATTCGAGGCTATCAACTAAAAACCATAAAATGTTATTGATACTTAATAAG